TGGGCGACCCTCAGCTTGGGCGTCCCGTTCGGCGGCTGCCCCGGGGCTCCTGGTGCTGCTCGGGGTTTCCGCAGCCATCGGGCCTCGGGCCACCAAAACCCTGAGCAGGGCCACAGCCCCCGCCTGCTCTCACTGCCCCGAGAGCTGAGGGAAGCTGGGAGGCCCTGGCCCCGTGCCATGCCCTCCACATCTGGTTCCCTTCCCCACAGCTGGGCTGAGCCCTGAGTGCTCCCTGGCTCCAGCGGTTCCTGGTGCCCTCTGTGGGAACAGGGTCAGGGTATTCTGAAATCTTCCAAAGCCCCATTTCAGCAGCTTTTCCCTGGGCCTCTCAAAGCGCAGCCGGGCACCACACTCTGCTCCCCTCTGCGTGGGCGGAAGACGTGTGTGCAGCGAGGGGGGGGCCTCTCTCCTGACATCCTTGTTAGCTAACAAGCCCTTTCCACCGCAGAGAGGGCTGGGTAGCCAGCTGTGAAGTTTGCCACATTTGGGGTAAGCTGCCCTGTGCCACTGGTAGCCCAGGTCCAGCCATTGCATCCCTGCCAGGATGCAGTCCCTTTCCAGGCAGAGCAGAGGGGTGGAGACAGTGCAGGAGGAAAGGGTTTGCCCCTGGATAGAGATGGGCCTCCTCCCAGCAAGCTGCCAGCCAGAGCTCTGCGAGGAGCAAGGAGGGCAGCCCAGGTTTCACGTACCACACTCTCTCCGTACACAAACAGCTCTGAGCAGGAGCGCCCTGAGAGCCATTGCCCAGCTGGGTTATTAAATGCATCTTTTACCTCGCCATCCGTTTCCCTCTGACATCGACCGGCGCTCGGCCCGCCGCCAGCACCTCCTTTCTGGTTTTAATGACTCCACGGCAACCCCCGAGACTCTGGGCTAGTTTCTCCAGGCCCAGCTCTGCTCTCAGCATGCCCTGGGGCCACCAGGCTGTTTGCATTAGATACAACCCATTCCCATGTGCAAAAAACCCCCTTGCACACATCTGTCCAGCCATCGGAGGCTCAACTGCTCCCCAAAGATCGGGGCAGTTCTGACTGGTTCTGCCCATTTCTCCCAATGCTGACACACCCCCCTGGTTCTATTCCCACAGTTTCAGAGTCTGCAGCTGGAGCGGGAGATGTGTTTGGCTTCAAACTGCGCCCTGGCCAGGGTGAACCTGTCCCTGCGCCCACGGCTGGAGGACGGGAAGGCTTCCCTAGCCATCAAGTACCAGGAGCTGCAGGAGATACGAGAGGCATGTTGGGACAAGCAGCAGCGCCTGGGTGAGTGGGACACGGCCAATAGGACGAGGCACAGCCCAGCACAGCCAGAGCAACCTGCGTTAATATGAGGGCCTGGGTGGACTCAGCGCCCTCGAACCTGCCCTGGGGATATGGCCCAGCCGTGATCGGGGGTGGTGGGGGTGATGCTGCCTGCAACAAAGCCAGCCCTTGACTGTGACTGATGCCGCAGTGGGATGCAGGCCTTGGTGTGCAGGTGGCTCCCGGGATGTGTTTGGGGGTGTTTCAGTTCGAGGGTGGGGGATGCTTGGGGATGGGAAAGACCCCAGCCCCAGCAATGGGGGCATCCGGGAGGAGGTTTGTTGGCAGCCCTGTGCACTCCCAACACAGAGGCGTACCTGGAGAATTGGAGCCCGCAGAGCGCCCTGGGCCAGCTCCAAGCCAAGCTTGATGCCTCTGAGGCAGAGTCGGAGGTGAGTCAGGCGAGACCCCTGTGCTGCTGCCCTTTCCTCGCCTGGGCCTGGACTCCTCTCCCATGCTTCTGGTGTGCCAGGCCCTGGAGAAGAGGACGGGGTGGTGCTCAGTCATCTGGGCTCAGCTCCATGGTCCCACAGCTCTCTTGGCTTGATGCTGTCCCACTGCCTGTCCCACAGGCCCAGATAGCGCGGTTCCTGGCCCAGGACCTGCCCCTTGATGCCTTTCTGGAGTCCTTCTGCCAGAGCCGCACACGGTCCCACATCTGCCGGACACAGCTGGAGAAACTGCAGGAGCTGCTGCAGAAGGACCGGGTGGGCAAGAACCCTGCAGGCCCCACGGGGTGCCCAGGTGCCCTGGCTAGCCCAGCACCAGCCCGCCTTGCCCCATTGCGGGGTGGAGTAGCCCCCAAAGCCTTCAATCTCTCCTACAGCTTTGTGCCCACCTTCCTCGTTCCCTCAGAAGCTGTTGTGCCCTTTGCCATGCCGGCTGCACCTCCCAAACACCATCTCCCAGCCCTAGGACACCAGCCAGCATCTCCCTGCTCCAAAATCCCCAGCCTGGGCTCACCCCTGCGCCTCGTTGGACACATTGCCCTGCTCAGCCCCCAGCCCCTCCGCAGGCAGCAACGGCCACAACACCAGAAGCAGGAGCCTCCCCACCGGTAGCAGGGCAGGGATGGGTGATGTCCCCGCTCCTGGCCCTGTCCCCCCAGGGGAGCTGCGCAGGAGCACCCTGGCTGGGGAGCACATGGCAGGGGTGTGTGTGCATGTTGAAGGCACAGCTCTGGGGGGCTGCGGTGTCTGCTGGGCAAGCACAGGGGTGGGTGCTCGCAGGGGGATGGAGGAGCTTGGCTGGGGGCAGGATGGGATGGGTGCTGTGGCTGGGCAGGGGATCCTGCACTGGGGGAGCTGCTGAGGGGGAGGTCTCTGCATCCACAGCAAGAGGAACGGTGACAGGAGGTGGGGGCGGGTGGGTTGTAGGGATGTCAGTGGGCTCAGCTGGGTGGGAGATAGCAAGGCAGAGGGCCCAGGAGCACTGGGTGCCACGCGCTTTCTAAATAAAGGCTCTTTTCCATGCTCTTTGTTCCCCCTTGGCTCTGGCTATGACCAGAGGGATGGGACAGAAGGGAGGAAGTGGTTGGGGTGGGACATTTTCCAGGCTTGGAGGCGACCAGCAGTCAAGTAGGGTCCTGCAGCCTGGGGAGCCCCCAGGCGTTGCACCTGCACTTGGCTCAGCCCATGAGCACGCCGGGGAAGGTGAGAGCCCCCCGCAAGGTGGGCAGAGAGCCCCAGGCAGGCACCAGGGCCCATCTCCCAGCAGTTTGGCCCCACGCGTAGTGAAGGCTTCTGGAAACCTGAGGTGCCTCATGCCAGAAGCTGAGCCCCCACCCCAGGCAGAGTTTTACCCACAGCTAGCCAGGCTTGTGCATGACTCCAGTGGTCTCATGGGCTGTCTGCAGCCCTGCAGTGGTTTCGTACCCATTCTCCATCCACCCTCTCACAATAGCCCTGACCTCATTCCCCACTGGAAAAGGCAGCAGGAGGCCTGAGCATAGCCTGTTCCATCCTGGGCTCCTCTATTGCTTTCCTTAACTTCACACAATGGATGGCGAGACAAGGCTGGGAGGGACAGCCCTGCTTCCTGCAGCTGCAGCCCCTGGGGTGTTTATTCCCTGCTCTGGAGTGTCCCTTGGGCTGTTTTTAGCTTTTAGATTTGGTTTCAGGCTCTTCTCGTGCTTTCAGCCCCTGTCTTCTTTCCCAGTTGCCTGCCCACCCTGAAGCATGGCACGGTTATGTAGACTGCTTAAAAGCCGTCCAAAGCAGCAAGGGCCCTGGCTCTGGCTACAAAGCACCCCAAAATACAGACCATTGGCTTGCAGTGTCTGATAGCCCCCTCTACCACGGCGGGTACCCCACCGTTACTCCTAACTCCAGCCCTCACTTGTGGGACTGGGGCCACACATCCAGTATAACCAGTTAAAACAGGTTTAAGACTAGGATAAATTTGGGACCAGCCACCATGGCTTTATTAGCAGGGAAGGAGATGGTAATCACTGGGGTTTTTGGTAGTCATTTGGGGTTTCACAGAGCACCTCCTGCTTTCCTGGGTCCCACCAGGCTCAGTCTGGGCTCAGCCTGCCAACCGAAGTTGCCAGGACATGCCTGATGGCCACAGTCAGGCTCTGTGGCTTGCCACCTGCCAGGAGGAAGGACCATAGTAGGCTGGCAACCATGGCATGAGAGCTCGGCTGGGTTCCTGAACCAGCCCCACAGGGCTAATCCAACCAGGGAAATAAGGGGACCAGGCAGGAGCCCGTTGGCCTGTGTGGGACCATCTGTGCTATGTCTGGAGGCGGCTGCACTGCACAGGCAGCCCCATCCTACCCAGTGTCCCAGGGTCCCCCAGACAGTTGCTCAGGCCACCCCGAGGGCTGCACTGGACACTGTGAGATGACCAGGGCTGTGGGTGCAGCACGGGGATGTGGGCCCAAGCAATGTGTGTGTGTTAAGCTATGAGGGCTCTGAGCATGCACACACACGGGGTGGGGGCGGCGGGAGGCATAAGTACAAGGCCTCTCACTGGGGATCTGGATGCCCACCGGGGAGAAGAAGGCCACCTTAGCACTTGGCTCAGGAAGAAAGGACCCCAAGGTGATGGCGTGAGGACATGGTCACTGCTGGAGCCCAGAGCCAGGCACCCGTACAGGCTGAATGCCAGCCAAAGGCAGTGCTGACAGCTGTGTCACCGCCTTGCAAGATGGGCCTGGGCACAGCACTAGGGCTGGCACTAGTGCCCACACAAACATGCACGAGGAGCCATGCCACCTGAAAACCAGCCAGGCACAAGCAGTGGGTCTCCCCAGCCCATGCCTGCCTTGCATGGCTCCCCAGGGCTGGGCAGTCCCAGGCAACACTGCATGGGTCTGTCACCAGCCCCGGGACACTTCCCTGGCCCCGAGCAGATACGGAGTAACCTTACAGCAAGGGCAAATGCAGCCCCATGAGTGTGAACCCTCGAGCCAAGCAGCTGCCATCTCCAGCCCAGAGAAAGTGAGTGTGTCCCACCACAGCTGACAGCACTAAAAGTAATGGTCCAAAGGACAAGGTGAGCTGGGTGCTGTGGCCCTGGCTGCCTTTCTGCCCATAGGAGCCCTGCAGCACCCCCAGGCGCCTGCCCAGCTCAGGTAGCAGTGGGCAGGCCCTGGCAGCCCCACGGGTCCTGCTGGCCACCACCCCACTTCAGCCAAGCACTGCGAAGTTGCCAAGCAAGGCGTGCCCCTGCCCTGGGTAGGTTCCTCCAACCCTGGGGTTGGTCCTGTCCAGTTTGGAGCAGGTACCACCCCAGGTGGGTGGCCAGATCCCCCAGCCGCAGCAGCCCCGGTGGGGAGGTGTACATGCGGCGTCAGTGCACTCTGCACCTCTGAGGAACATGGAAGCAGGGCACGCCTGCCTCTCCTCCCAGAACCTGCAGTCAGCACTGTGTCCTACTGGCACCTCCAGCCCCTTCCACAGGCAGCCTGGGCTGAGGACAAAGTCCTACATGGGGCACAAGACAGAGACGCTGGTAACAGGCAGCAGCACAGGGTGATCCCTCTGTGCCCCTCCTTGCCTGCACAGTGGTTCTCCCTGCCTGCACCAAGCACTGCCGCCCCGCAGGACCACATCAAGGGGGGGTCAGTGTGCCCCTGCTCACCCTGGGGAGGTGCACATTCATTTCTGTACCAGGCCAGACAGCAGCCTGGGGCCAGCTCAGCCCCTCTGCCCGCTGGTGTGCAGCCAAATCCAGGAGGGACTGGCAGGGAGCTGGCCCTGCCCGGCTCCCCCAGGCCTGGCTTTTCAGACACCAGGCTGGGCAAGCGGCAGACCCCAGCCCACGAGGGACAGGACACCTGGGAGAGAAGGGGTCCCCCAGCACAGGCAGCCTCCAGGAGACCCTGCGAGCTGCAACGCCAGGCCAGTGGAGATGTAAAACCCCAGGCTGGGGCCAGCCAGCCAGGGTGGTGCCAAGGTGCCCCAGCTGGACTCTCAGCACGGCAGGCACTGCCCCGGGCCACAGGGCTGGTAACAGGAAACTCTATTTATTAACAGTTAATTCTATTAACAGTTAACTCCATTAACAGAGGAGTCGCTGCAGGGCGACTGTTGGAGGGAGGGGGAGCTGCCCCCCACCCATGGGTGCTGCCAACCGTGTGGCCCTTCCCTGGGGGGTAAAGCCACTGTGGCTTTAAAAGCAGCTCTGCCCACCAGTCTGGGCAGGTGAGGGCTGGGGCTGCCCCAGGTGCTGCCCTCACACCCCCACCCTGCCAGGCCACCCCTCTGGTGGGTGATGGCTGCCCTTCCAGTGCTGCTCAGGACCCTGCTCACCACACCTGCAGCTCATTGCCCCGCATGCTCCCAGCCCTGCTGGCACCCACTGGGAGCCAGGTTTAAACCCCTCCATCCCTCCAGATGGAGGGGAGAGGCCCTAATGAGGCACTGAGACCCCATGCCCACAGGCAGCCCCACCCAGCCGCCGAGGCAGCAGCTCAGCACCCCAAGCCTGTGGTTACAGGGATGTCAGCCCACGAGAACGGGCTGGGATGGGACTGGGGAAGGGGGTCTGCACTGAGCTTGCAAGGCCTCAGGACTGGGGCTGTCAGGCTTCATCTGGGCCTGTCTCAGCTTGCCTGGAGCCTTTGATTAATTACCAAGTGGCCGTGAACTACTTAGTTTTAGTTTTGCTTCCATTTTACAGTGGCATGGTGTGATGTCTGTTGTTAATGATTCAAGGGTGGGAATGAGTAACAAGAAGTTACACAGAATAAACCCTGCAGAGAAGGTGCAGGGTAGAGCAGTAGAGGCCTGGAGGGGTGGACATCAGGTGATAGCTGATGCCCCATCAGCGACTCACCCCTGGGCAGTTCCTTTCAGTGACACAACTCTAAGAGCTGACCAAAATTGGTGTCGGGGGCAAGAGAGCAAAGAACCAGCATCCAGCACGCACACAACAGACAACC